CCATAACATTAGTATGTTAAAGAAAATTGCAAGGGGGAAAATTAACATTGAAATAGATTTCAATTATTAGAGAGAAGAGAAAATCCAGCCAGTGATTTGGTTTAGCTAGGGATACAAGAGTAAATTGATGGTTGTCAGGATTAGAAAAGATTTTCCAGAATGAGGAACTGTCAAGGTGAAGGAGGGAGGAGAAAGATCTTCAGACCTCTAATACATGACGTGGTTGTGAGAAAGGCTGTGCATTGAGCACGGGAGGGAGCAGTTCTGCTGGAGAACTTCCAACAAGTAGTATTTAATTCTCAACCAGGTTACACACCTTCACTTAGTTTAACGCCATCGCTGTGAGTTAAATATTCATATCTTTTTCTTCAGATGGCAGGAGATGCTGAGTTTTTTTTGTACTTCTATGGGTGATCTGCATATTGTGCTAACAAATCCCGCCTACTTCGTGCCCAACCCTCTTCCTAAATGCTGTATAAATGAAAACCAAAAAGACTAAGAAGAAAAAAACAAGCTTAGATTTAAGACGGTTTTCTTAACTACAGCAAGTAGATTATATATTCATGAGAAATGACTGCAGAAATAACATTTGACAATATTTCCACATTATTTCCAATGAAAACCAGATTTCTCTAAAATCAATGAATTGAGTGTTTGAATTGAATGCTTACTTTTAGCAGCGTCCTGTGTTTTAAGCAATAAATACATTTATTTGTATGTTTTTAAAAACCTAGAATAATTGAGAGTGTGTTATGTACCAGGGATCAATATTATAAAATTATTTATATGCTATTATCATAGATAAAATACTATTCTCACTAAAAGAAGTAGGCGTATTCCTTTGCCTCACACTAAAGGCCATTTATAATCTGGCTTTTCAGCTACAGTTTGTTTATTGTCCCTCAGCAAATCTTCCTCACTTTTTTCCTTTGGCCATGCCTTTTCAAAACCTACTCATTCTTCAAAGTCTGATTCCATTTATGCCTCTTCTTCGAAGATTTCCTTAACCTCTCCAACATAGAATATCTCCTTTCTCCTTTGAGCAGGAAGCCCTTGTTACCTGCAGGACTCAGGCACTTCTCACATACTGTCTAGTGCCGTCCTGAATGCTGCTGCTGTGTATTGCTACCTGGCTTTTCACATGAGAACATCCTGCTCCCCAAATAGACTTTGTATTCTTTTTGTAGAGCAAGTATTATAAATTTGTGTTATGTAACTCATAGTGGACATTCAACTAAACTTCTGGCTGTTCCCTTGCATCTAAGAAATGGATTCGAATATATGTATAAGAATTAAGACTGGGTGTGTGTGCCTAAGAAATGCTCAGCTTTGTTGCTTGGAAAAAAAGAGGGCATATTCTCATATGATGTTTCATATTCAGGACCCACTCTGTGCACATGGTGTAGGCAATGTCACCCCCCACCCCCAATAAAAACCTTTTTTCACCTTTTTTCTCTCCCTATCACTTCTATTTACAGGCCAACTTTTGGCTTTTTCACTGATCTACAAACATGTCTGATGAATAAATTGTATTTTAGTTTCCTGAGGCAACAATTAGAAGTCTTTTCTGCACAGGTATAAAGTGGCCTTCTTGGGCAGGATGCTCTGTATGTCCTTCCTGTGACTAGTCTTCGCTAGGGCCCAAGCTGAGGTCAGCATAGTTTTAAATATATGTACTCTTAATATCTTGTATAGTAGAGTTCTTTTGGATTCAAATAACAGCTATCCAACCAAAAAGGGAAATTTTTCATGAAGATATGAGACTGTTTCATGGATGAGAAAGCAGCTGGCCCCCAGGTACCATGTGGAAATATGTCTCTTTACTTAATTCTACAGGTCTGCTTTATTCTTCTCTCTTGTTGCAGACTAGCTTCTACTTTTTCTATCCATATGATGAAGCATGGCCTAACAGCTTCTGAGGTTGAAATCCTAGAGTCCAAGTATACAGAGAAAGATTGCCTTGACCTTTGCCCCAGTACTTGAAAAAGAACTTTAATTGCTATCTTGGGCCCAGGGTCCATCCCTGAACCAAGAAAACGTGGTCAGACATGGAAGGATATTTTACTCTACTGTATTTCTGGGTTAATCATTTGGATGGAGGGCAGTAGGAAGGAGCTCTTGTCTGGATGAGATATGTTGGACAGATTAAAGAGGTTTGCTAAACTGTACATGTTTACACAGTTGAAGAGTTTACATGCCCCTTTCCATACGTTATGTTATGTGAGCCCCATGACAGTTGAGTAACATAGGCAAGACAGGAACTATTGGTACACAGCTTACACTGGAGGGCATTAAAATGCTTTTAGAAACTAAGTGACTTGCGCAAGATTCACAGATAAGTAGTAAATTATCATTCCACTGTCCAACAAAACCTATCTTTCAAAATGTTCCTGAAATCCACCACCTACTTGAAGTTGATGAACAGGAGAGGAATACAAGCTTGTCTTCTCCAGAAAAAAAGAGCAATTTTAGCAAAGTGTAATTTTAAAAAAAAAGGAGAGTGAGGCAGAAAAAGAAAGAGAGAAACATAAGGGAGTGAGTTATTGAGCTGGCCACAATTTTGAAATAAGCCGACTGCTTTGAACCACAGGATATTTTTAGAGAGGCTGTTTGACGATACCACGTGTGGCCCAATGGGCACGGCAGGGAAAGGAACAAACATTTATCCAATGGCTTCCATTGTCCTTGGTCAAAGTTCAGGCTCTAACACGTACTTGGAGACACAGCAGGACTTGCTGGACAGCAGAGAAGTTCTAAGGGGAGAATGCAAGATATTGTCAGGTCAGACATGATTGTTACATGAGGGACCAGAGGCAGCCATGGAGGGAGTCTGGCTGGCCCGGAAGGTCATCAGTAAACTGAGCAGCTGTCCACATGGTGACATGGGAATGGTGACACTGACTCCCTGATGAAGGCTCATTTTAAGGATACTTCTCCTATTTCACCTCAGAATTGATCAATCCCTTTTTTTATACCCACAGTATTCTTCACATGAGTATATAAACATTTAACACAATTATTTATTCAGATTTCTTTTTGTCTCCTAGGGAAGATTTTTGTGAAGTTGGAGTAATGGTGATTCATTAATTCAATAGCTTATTGAGTATCTACTATGTGTTGGGCACTATTTTAAGTGCTAGGGATAAAATGGTGATAGACACAAATCTAACTTTTTGAAGGTTATATTTTACTGTGTGTGTGTGTGTGTGTGTGTGTGTGTGTGTGTGTGTGTGTGTGTGTGGAGACCAATAAAGAAATACATAAAAAATATATTGTGTTGGTGACAAATGCTTTGGAGGAAAACAAAGGAGGCAAGTTGGGTAGGAAGAGCAGGGGTGGGGAGTGAGGGTTATAGATTAACTAGGATGGCCAGGGAAAGCTTCAGTGAGGGAGTGACATCTAGAAAGAGCAGACATGGATAGTTAGCGGGGAAAAGTTCCAGAGATAGAGAAAAGCAAGTGCAAAGGCCCTAAGGCATGCTGGGCATTGTCCAGAATGAGCAAAGAAGCCAATGTGACCAAAGAAGAGGGAAAGGAGATGACAGAGAAGAGAGTAGATGGAATCAGAGAGTTAATATGGAGCCACATATCAGAACATTGAAATGACTTTGGCTTCCACTTGTGGAGGGATGGAGAGGCAGTAGGGCTTTAGAACATAGAAGTGATTTGACAAAAGACTGACTCCGAAGACACTCCCACTTTAAGGTTTAGGAAGGTTAGGACTAATCAGTAAGGAGACTCAGTGAAAGTAGCCATGAGGTAGGAGAAAAACCAGAAGAATGTGGTTTCTAGAAGGCAAGATAAGAATGTGTTTTAAGAGGCAGTGACTGAACAACTTGGCCAAATGCTACTGATAGAAGTGTTGTGAACTGGGCTTTGGGTTTAGCGGCACAGACATCATTCTTGACCTTGAGCAGTTCAGTACAATAGAGAGCGGCAAATGTCCAAATGGAAGTTCAAAAGACAATGGAGAAAAGAGAAACTGGAAGCAACAGATAGGGGAAATTCTTTAAAGTTTTGCTTTAAAGGG